CTCATTCTAATTCAAAGAATCATCTCTGCACACACCTCTCTCTCTTACAACTAAAAGACAGCAACCAATTGTTGTGTAACTCCTCCCTTCCCCCCTTCAACCCAGCTAACATACAAAGGAAAGGACTTTCTCTATTGTGCAAATTCAGTCCCTGCAACAGATCTTTGTTAACTAAAATCTGATTCAGAAATAGTCCTCACTTATTTTTTTTTCCACTGGAATACAAAAACTGTAAAGAATAAAAACACAACAAATGTTATTCTTATCTCAAGAAGATAAAGTCAAATTTTGAAAATGCTCTGATTACATTTTATAGATTTGGTCTTTCTTTGGTACGGAAAGAAAAAAGCCAAATCAGCATCCTTCCCTCAATCTATTTTCCACCAAAAACACTGATCAAAATATAAATAATACAAAAAAGGTTTGGGTTTGACCCCTCCCCCCAACACACACAAAAGTGCCTCTAAGCTGCCCTGCTCCCAAAACTGTCTGGTTTAATCTTTAAAAAAAAAAAAAAAAAAGTCCAAATACTTAACTACAAAAGCCTAATCAGTGTTACAAGAATAATCATTTTGGAAACGTTTTAAGTAATGTATTCCCAATATACACCTCTTAATCCTGTAAAACAGTTATTAGTTAATGTTGTAATTAGCTAGGGAAAAGTGTAAAAAGCTGGTAAAAGGTATTATAGGGTTTATCTCATTCCGATTTCTAGAAAACACTACAAGTGAGTATCCTTCCATTTCCTTCCAGAGCTATCATTCTAGTACAATTACCTTTTTACCCTTTCACTTAAATTACTCAAATTTCGTTTTCCTCCCAGTAACAATCACATTTTACAAAACGTTTTCTACAATAGGGATAAAAGGTTTTGAATCCCTCCAAACAGGGTCCATTTAGCTCCACAGCGGGAAAGGCAAAAAAAAAAAAAAAAAAATTTTTTTTTTTCTTGTACATATCTAAGAATAAACAAGCAGCCATAAATAGAGATTACCTGTCTTGGGGATCGGGTGGGAAGTGGGGGGATGGGAACTAGGAATCCCGATGTCAGGGGTGAAGGGGAGATTTTTCTTTGTAAACCCTTTACATTCTTTAAACCCTTAAGAATGCACTGCCTTTTCAAAGAGCTAAGGACATTTGTTCAAACAAAATTCTAAATTTCTTTTAAAATAAAGGACTTTGGTGGACACACGGTCTGCTTAGTCTTAAGATAATCTTCTTTTATCAGTAGCATCTGCTTGTGCTCTGCAATAGGCGAGATGCCCCTTTAAACGCAGTCAGTGAGCAACGCGCCCGCTAAGCCCTCCTGAATACGGTAACGTTCCTCCAGGCCTCCGCTTTCGAAGGCAGCTCGCATCCTCCGCCCCCTCCTCCCTCTGTGCATTCTGAGATCTGCTCGGCTGATTCCCACATAAAGTGGGTCCTGGCCGCCATTTTAGAGAGTCATTCACACAAGCCGGACCGCAGCACCGTCCCCTTCAAAACCTCCCCCCCAAACTCCCTCGGACGATTTCCTCCTCTTTGCTTTCGCTAACCCCTCATCTCGTGAGGAGCCAAAGTCCCAGCAGCAGGCATGCAGCGTCTCTGGAACGTGCATAATGCGAAATGACACGTCCGGCCAGAACACCGAGGAGCAAAGCGAACGCTGCAATGCACGTGTCTGCACGTCGATACCGACGAATTTCCCAGGCAGAGAGAGACCTACAGAGAGAAGTCCGCAAGGAGTCAAAAGCGAGCACACCTACGGGGCTCCGCCACTCCGACAACCTGCACCCAAACGGCTTTCCCCACCAAAGCACTGAGGGCGCCGGGGCTGTGGGTGGGGGCAAACGGGTGGAGCAGCGCCAGGGAGGGAAAGTTCCCATCTGCTTCCCGACCGAGCCCCGGGGGGAGGCGAGTTTCTGCTCCCCGCCCGGCCTCGCCTGGTTTCTCAGCAGCACGTAGTAAACACCGGGAGAGTCCCTGCAAGCGCGCGCCCCCCCCCCCCCAGCCCTGCCGAGGACGGCTTTACAGGTTATGAATGGCCTCGCGATTGCCGGCTCCTTTTCACACGCGGCCACGCGCAGACGCGCGCTCCAGCGGCGAAGGTCTAACACCCCAGTACCGGCAACCACCGACGGCATCAATGATCCTCCATTTAAACGACACGGTGGAGCTCCGCGGCCTCCGCTTCCACTTCCCTGTCCGAGCTGCTCGGGAGCAGGCGGCGCGGTCCATTTTTCCCGTGGTGGCGGTGACTCACTAACAAGGGCGCTCCAAAGGCGCCTTCACTCTCTAGAGACTAAGAGGGATCCAGAGTAAAACCAGACTCAAAACCCTTTCAGGGTCTTGCCTGCCGGGGGGAACCGCGGTTTCCCAGGACGATCACAGACGCGCGGCGGGCCAGCATTGGGCACCGAGGACCCTCCGCTGCGGCAGCAGACGCTCCACCCGGGGGGCGAGCGCCGACGTGCCGCTGCGGAAGGCGCCTCGAAAGCGCCCGTCGCCGCATCCCGCCGCGACACACGCTCCGGGAAGTTTGAAAGAGCAGCTCCACCTCCTGCTCGTGGGAGCCCTGCGTTCTCCCGACCACCGGCCCAAGAACTGCGGGCGGGCGGGCGGGCGGGCGGGCGGGAAGCCCCGTCCCTCCAGGGGCGGCCCCGGGGCTTCGCCGGGCGGCCGCGGACGGGCACGGCCGAGGCCCTCGGGCGCCGACGCCGGCGGGGCGCCGCGCAGCGCAGCGCAGCGCAGCGCTCCCCGCAGCGGGGCTGCCCCCGAAGCCCGCGGGCCCCCACGGGGCTCGACGGCGGCCGCGAAGCCGAAAGAGCCCAAACAGGCGCACAACTTCTCTTCAGGCACCGTCTTCACGCACACGCACACGCACACGCGCGCACATTCCTTCAATTCAATTTCTTTCTTTCTTTTTTTTTTTTTTTACATAGACGTATAAGAAGGAGAAACTGCGAGCTTGCCGTCCCCCTGGAGTCCCGGGGTCACCAGCCGCTCGAGAGCGGCGCCCAGAAGCCCGCAGCGTGTCCCCGGCTCCGAGCGGCTCCCGCACCGCCCACCGAGGCTGGCGTCCGGGTAAGACCGCTCCGCTCCCGTCGCACCAGCCCGTGTCGAGGTCACACATCTCCGGGCGGGAGCTGCGGCGGGAGCCCGGGGTCGGCCGCGCCGGGGCGCCAGGACGCGACCCCACCGCCGCCCCGCCGGCCCCCCTCCTGGCAGCGCCGGTCCGCGGAGGCCGGGGCGGCCCCCTGGTCGCCGGGCCGCTCCGCCGAGGCCGAGGCCGAGGCCGAGCCCGAGCCCGAGCCCGAGCCCGAGCCCGAGGCGAGGCCCAGCCGCGCGCGCCGCCTGCACCCGTCCGCGGGTCCGGCCCGGTCCCCTCAGCAGTTCCGCGCACGGGGAGGGGCCGGCAACGGGCCGGGCGGGCAGCAGCGCCCGCGGAGAGAGCGCGGCCCAGCGCCGCGTGTCACTCACCGTTTGAAATGCTCGATGATCTTCTCTTCCCGCACATTCTCCGGTAAGTTGCCCACCCAGAGGTGCCTGGTTTCCCGGACCATGCTGGGCGGTGTGCCGGCGGCCGCGGGTGCGGGTTCTCCCTCGCCGGCTCCGTACGAGCCCGTCAGCGCCGGGAGGCGGGCGCCGAGGCGGCGGCGGCGGCGGCTGCGGCGGTGGCGTCGGCAGCGGCGGCGGCTCCTCCGGCTCCCCCCCGTGCAGAGACCATCCCTCTCCCCCAGGTTCTGACTCTCGGGCCTCGCAGCTCCGCTCTGCCGCCACCACACACCCGAAGCCGACCCTCGCGCTCCGGCGGCGCATGCGCCCGGGCGGCGGCGGGCGGGGGAGCGGGGAGGAGGGGCGAGCGGGACCCGGGCGGCCGCGGCTACGACGGAGCTGGCGCTGTGGCAGCCGGACGCTTCCCACCGGCGCGCGCGGCCCGCCTCCCTCGCCGCGGGCACGCGCGCGTCCGCCCGCCCGCCGCGGCCGAGACGCCGAGTTCCTCCCAGCCGGCGCGCAGGCGCGCGGGGGAGGGGGGAACGCGGGGCCTGGAAGGGACGCTCGCGCGCCCGGGCCTCAGGCGCACGCGCGCTGCCGCGCAGGGAGCCGGCCGCGGGGCGGGCGCGCAGTCAACCTGCGGCGCTGGGCGGGCGGGCGCGGGGGCGGGGGCGGGGGCGGGGGCGGGGGCGGCGGCGGGGGCGGCCTCCCGCCGCTCGGGCCGGGGTCCCGGGAGCCGCCGGCCCGCGGGAAGGAAGGAGAAAGGCGGCCGCTCTTGAGAGGGCTGCGCGTGAGAGCGGCGGCCGGGGCCTGTCCGGGGAGAAGCCGCGTCTCTGCCCCTTGTCGGCTTCTGCCCGCTTCCGGGCGTTCGGATCCCCGCCCGCTTGGGAAAGTGTCAACTAGGCCGCCCTCCCCGCTGCCCCGCGGAGCGGCGTCGGCCTCAGAAGCCCGCCCCTCTCAAGATCATTAGCTTGTAACGTTAAGCAACTGTACTTTATAGAGGACCTTGCGAAATGTTTTTGCAAGATATCCTAGCTGGTCCTCATGGTACGCCGGGAATACGCGTGGACTGCGACGGCCACACGTGTGATATTGTAAAAAAAAAAAAAAGAAAGAAAAGAAAAGGATGTACACGGAGATTTACTATGATTTAATATTTAAGCATAGGAACGAATCAGACCTCTCTGGCCTTCCCAGGCCTGAGGACCTTTAAAGACCACACCTGAGCTTTTGTACAAAGGCCAGTTAGGGGCGCCTGGGTGGCTCGGTTGCCTAAGCCTCCGCCTGCCGCTGGGGCCAGGATCCCGGGTGTGGTCTTCGGCCCCGCGGGGGCTCCCTCCGCTGCGGGGGTCCTGCTTTCTCTCTCTCCCTCTGCCGTCCCCCCCCCCCGCTTGTCTGTGCTCCTCTCTCTCTGTCAAATAAATCATTTAATAAAATACCCATTAACAGAACCCCAGAGAAAACCCACAAAATTAAGACAATTGAGTCCAGGAAAACGGAATCCTTTAGAATAGTCAGCCACTCAATTTTCTTTTCCATTCTTTATTAAGTACAGAAAATATCAAAGGTGCGGTGCTTCACGTACACACCACATTTTAACTATGTGGTCTCATTCACTGTCTCCTTATCACCAAACTATGCTATTTTGAAGTGGAAATGTGGTCATCCGGATGCGCCTGGGTGGCTCAGCGGTTTAGCGCCTGCCTTCGGCTCAGGGCCTGATCCTGGAATCCCAGAATTGAGTCCCGCATCGGGCTCCCTGCGTGGAGCCTGCTTCTCCCTCTGCCCGTGTCTCTGACCCTCTCTCTGTGTCTCTCATGAATGAACAAACAAAATCTTAAAAAAAGAAAGAAAGAAAAGGAAATCTGGTCATCATAATCAGTGGCACTAGTACCTGGGGTCACCGGTGCATAATTAGTTTCTTAGGTTCCACAGACAGTAATGCTCCAAGTCGGGTTTTTTGTTGTTGTTGTTGTTGTTGTTTTTTCACCACATAGTCCTAACGTGAGTTTCTTAATGATGGTGTCTGGCTGAGAGTCACATCAACTTTTCTTGTATTTGGTTTAATAGCCCATACCAAATAAACTTGATCAGTTGAGATAATCTCTCCTTCCTCCTCTCAGGACATTGAGGAAGCTAAGCAAGCCCCTGCCTTACACAGTTGCAACAATTACAGTACTAGATCAGCTAGCTGAGGTGCTGACCTTACCACCCATTTGAAATGATTTTTGGAATTTTGACAAATTACTTCTAAAACTTCTAGATTCTGAGCCAGGTAATTTAACTGGCTTAAGTTCAGTAAGAGAAACAGAAAGAGGTGGTCAAGAAAAGCTAGAAACTGAAAAGCCCCACTACAATATTGGCACTCACTGATAATTTAGTTAAGGTATTTAGTGCCACCCCAGAGGTTAATCTTGTCTTCACTGCAACTGCAAATCAGTCATTAAGTGAAATGGAGATTTGTGTTCTTGAAAATATTATGGAATGGACTCCTCAGTAAAAAATAGTAATAATAATAATAATAAATTAATTAAATTAAAAATCCCACATTCAGATGTAGGATTGGCCATTTACATTTGGCCATTTTTTGTCACAATTATCACGTAAGGAGTGTCAAGAGCACACTATTAACCTAAACTCATGAACTATATAGTTCTGCCTATACCACCGCAGTTGGTGTTGAAATGACATGCATTTTTCCATGAACCATGCATTTCAATAGAAGCAACCACAATTTGAAACACATTTTAAAATAGGATGTAAATTACTCATTTAAAATTTCATAGGCTCTGAATTAGCTGAAATCTCTTGGGAAAGACCAAAGTGCCATCATGAAGAAGAAGAGATTCAGCTCAGTTGCATTAAGAGGGGCAACTGACAAAGAGGATGATTCACAATAGCATCTCGCAATTACAGAAGGAAAGGGCATATCTCACCTTCCATGCAGACTTCAGTCAAAATCATGTTGAAGACAAATCAAAGGGCTGAAAAAAAAGGGGGGGAGGAGCCTTTTAGAAGCAAAATCATTACATTAGTTAATTATTGAATACGGTATTTTGCATCCATCTAGGACTCCCACAGAACAACAAAAGAATAAACTAGAACAAAATAAGAAGCAATTAAGATATTTTTTCTAATGCGTTCTCCAATGGCACAAGAATGACGGGACATTAAATAAAAGTTAAAGCAACATGTTTACCACCTAAAAATTTTTTTGAACTAGTTCTCTTAGGTTAGCCTAAAGGTCTTGTAACAACAGTGCTGATTTTCCATGTAAAAAGCAGAGTAGATACTTAATTTCTGTAAGTTAATTTGAAATGGGCAGTTATTTACGAAGACTTTACAAATACCTTCAAGTCCCCCCGCCTTTGGGAAGTAGTGGAGGAGAAACCTGGTGGAAAATTACCAACACCCAAATCGTTCAGCAGTTGAGTCAAAGTTCTCCCAAAGACCTTTAGAGATCATAGAATGTCAAAAAGATTAGAAGCAAAAGTCAACTTAACAGTATCATTTCTCATCTTGCCAGATATTCACCAAACATCCAAGAAACAGTCTAACAATATAAAGGCTAGCAAAATCCCACCAAACATCATTTGATAGCATCTTATACTCAGATTCTCTTGAAGTGTTAGTCAAAATAACTGGCACCAAAACTAGCAACCAAAGCAATCATTTTAGTTTCTTGGGTTTTTAAAATGTCAACAGACATCAGCCTAAATGGGTAATTAAATAGTAAAACAACATTTTAATTTTTATCTGCTTAAATTCTTAATGTGCTCCTATGATGCCAAAAGAAAAAAATATGACACGAATTTCAATTGAACAGATTCATTTAAAGGAAAAATAGCTCACATTTAGATGATAGGTTCAAATGAGTTATCCAAGTAGGAATTTTATCTTTATTAAACTTAATAGTGGCAGGTTAAAAGTACTGTCCATGTTCCTTACTGATTCTTTCAGCATAACAAACGCTACATGACCATGAGCTTCATATTATACTAGAAAAACACAACACTGATGATATAATGAGAGACATTATATATAACAGAAATAGTGCTGGGTTAAGAATCAGAAATTCCAATTCCAATTTTGTCACTGTCTATAATGAACTAGCCATATCAATTAAATCCTGAAAGTCTCAATATCCCTATATGCAAAATGAAATAATCTGCTTTCTCTACCAAAAAAGGTTGCTAGAAGGATCAGAAAAGATGATGTATGTAAAAGGACTTGGAAGTAACACACCACAAAAATATCATGAATACTATTAAGTTGACCACTAATTTCATATTAATATCAAAACTAAGCATCAGTTGAAATTAAGAACATATCATTATCAATTTTCAGGGTTTTTTTTTTTTTAAAGGTTGTATTTATTTATAATGAGAGACAGAGAGGCGCAGAGACACAGGCAGAGGGAGAAGCAGGCTCCATGCAGGGAGCCCGACATAGGACTCGATCCCAGGACTCCAGGATCATGCCCTGGGTGGAAGGGAGGCGCTCAACCACCGAACCATCCAGGCGTCCCAATTTTCAGGGTTAAAGCCTATATAGGTCCTATAGTCAAATCAAAATGCAGTGATCGCATATTAAGTACATAGTTCTTTGTTCATTTTTGCTTTTTCTATTCCAAAGTTCTTAATAACAACAAAACTGGTAAGTGCATGCCCATTGCACAGTCCCAAATCAAGTGTCTGATTTTTTCAGTGCCTTTCATTTCTATTGGCAATGTATCAGGAAACACTGGGAAAGCTTCTCTCTACTTCTGTCTTTGGTACAAATATTTACAAAGGCAGAATTTCTTCATCAGCATTTATCTTTGTATGTTTTCAACAGCAAGGCAACCCACTCTGTTATTCTGATTTTTAAATTTATTTTAACAATTAATAATTGATGCTCATTGAAAAAGATCAAAAGTAGGGTGTGATCTCTGCTTTCATCTATGATAAAATGGATGGTGAAGTGAATTTCCTCATTTGAGTATTAATGATAATTCAGAAAGATTACATTAAAAGCAGAGCCATTTGCAACGAGGAATTAAACTAGATGTGTTTTTAATCAGGTCTTATTTTCACACTGTGAAGAGCTCCTGTATTTAGCATGCTAGACGTGCTCAAAGAGTTCAGTCATGCGTAATGGAAGCCCAGTTGGGGAAAGCATCTGAGCCTCAAACTCAGGCTTTGAATGCTAACCTAGCCAATAGAGCAGATAAATTAATATCAACATTTAAACAGGAGGACAGAATCATTACCAGGAATTTAACAATAATTTGGTTACAAATTTAGTCCTAAGCTATTAAAATTAAGCTATTTCATGACAAAACATATACTTAAAATATAAGCATTTGTTCCTAAAGGCATCAAATAAAAATAAATTAACTAGCTCTAAAATGATCAAAGCCTACTTGACAACTTGACAATACAAATTCCTTCTATTATTAGAATCAGTTTTTCTCAAAACGGTAGAAAATAAAACTGACAACACAGCTATATTATCCTCAGAGTGTTTGACATATTGTAGTTTTGAGGGTCAACTGGTGAAAGAGAGACCAGTCCATTAACAGATTTATTTTGATATAGCAGACCCAGTCTGGTGGAATTACATATACATAAATTATCAGAACTTCAATCAATTGAACATTAGCCAGCTAGTCCTCTAAATCATACTTTCGGCAAGCTAACATCTCATAATCTCTTTTACTGTTCAAACTCTAAGTAAGCTAAATAATTTATCCCACATTGTTTTTAGTATTCCAGAAATGAATGTAATGGCTGACATTTTCTTTAAAAAAAAAAAAAAAATCCGTTCTTATGTTTTTACCATTTCCTTGGAAAGTTGCTTAACTTTTTTCCCCCTGTATGAGGAAACACTGCTAATGTACCTAATATTCAGAATTATGAATATAATTTATTAATGTTTATGGAATTGGGAAAAAAATGGACTGGAAGGATATTTGCAAATACATTAATCACAGCTGTGACTATGTGGTAGAATTTAATTTTTTTCTTTCCATAAAGTTAACGTGCTGTGTAGTTTCAGGTGTACAATATAGGGATTCAGCAATGCTATACATTACTGAGCGCTCATCGTAAGTGTCCTCTTAATCCCCTTCACCTATTTCTTTTTTTTTTTTCCCCCTTCACCTATTTCACCTATTGCCCCCACCTACCTCACCTGAGATTTAAAAATTTTTTAAAGTTTTTATTCAGGGCAGCCCGGGTGGCTCTGGTTTTGTGCCGCCTTCAGCCCAGGGCGTGATCCTGGAGTCCCAGGATCGAATCCCACATCTGGCTCCCTGCAAGGAGCCTGCTTCTCCCTCTGCCTGTGTCTCTCATGAATAAAGAAGTAAAATCCTTTAAAAAAATAAAAGTTTTTTTAGGAAATATAGATGAATAAAAACTTTTTTTTAAGATAATATCTTAGATGAATAAAAACTTTATATTTTTAAAAATATTTTATTTATTTATTCATGAGAGACACAGAGAGAGAGGCAGAGGGAGAGACACAGGCAGAGGGAAATAGCAGGCTCCATGCAGGGAACCTGATTCGGGAATACGATCCTGGAACTCGGGGATCACGCCCTGGGCCAAAGGCAGGTGCTAAACCACTGAGCCCCCCGGGGCATCCCCCTAAAAAACTTTTCAATTATAATTTCCTTTGATTAACATATGTTGCATTTATAATTAGAAAAAGATAATAAAAACACTTTTGGAAGTCAGTCTCTGGGTTACTTTAAGTTCTCTCTGAAATGTTCATGTTGGACTACACTAAATCAACATATTTATGTTAAGGGATCCCAGGTGAACAAAATGTTATTATTCACTATGTTAATTTGGAGATTTCACTCAACCTTTTAAACCTCTATTGTTGATCCTCATGTGAGAAAAAATTTAACCTCTTCACCAGCAGTGATATACATTAACCAAAACACCCTAAGCATAGGAGATTGGAACTTTTAAACACCAGAGAGTAAGCAGAATGGAAATAAATAAGGCTATTGATTAATTCAGAGAAGATAAAGCATACTTGATGGAATCTCAAAAATAATACCACCAAATAAAATGCATTTAGTAACTTGTTACATATGTATTGAAATTTTCAGCATGCTTAGGGTTTTAAGCTCCCCTGCTCTAGTTTGAAGTAGAAAAAAATTAAAAAACTTATTTATGGGGACGACCGGGTGGCTCAGCGGCTGAGCATCTGCCTTATGCTGAGGGCGTGATCACGGAGTACCAAGATCAAGTCCCACATTGGGCTTCCTGCATGGAGCCTGCTTCTCTCTCTGTCTGGGTCTCTCTCTCTCTCTCTCATTAATAAATAAAATCTTAAAAAAAAAAAACTTATTAAGGTACTCCTTTGAAATGTCTTTAAAACAATATTCATTTTGGGATCCCTAGGTAGTGCAGCGGTTTGGCACCTGCCTTTGGCCCAGGGCGCGATCCTGGAGACCCGGGATCGACTCCCACGTCGGGCTCCCGGTGCGAGGAGCCTGCTTCTCCCTCTGCCTATGTCTCTGCCTCTCTCTCTCTCTGTGTGACTATCATAAATAAATAAAAATTTTTTAAATAAATAAAACTATGTCCATTTTAATTCAGTTATTGTTATTTAATAGTAATGCCTCTTTAAATCACATCACTACCTCAGTAATCTTCAAGATGGTTATGATTGCTAATTTTATATAATATTCCACAATTAAGACACCTAAAACCTTTTGGCTTAAAATAAAACCATACTATTTGAAGACTATATAAGACATGATTCCTTTCTGAATTAAATGATGGAATTATTTTTAAGGCTTTAAAAAGTTAAATTTCAGTATTTTGACAGAGGAGCTCATTGAACTTTTTCAGGCTATATACTACAAAAGTCATGAGAAACACTGCTTATACTTTTATTTGGAAGATACTTTGGGGAAAAAAAAGAATTCCTCAGGCTAACTCTCTTGGAGGATGGTAGATTAACTTAAAATGACTTTTCTAAGAAAACAGAACCATTAAGAGTCATAACCAATGATTTCACCGTATACTGTTAGCTGGTGAAGGGGCATAGTGGGATGAACTAATAAAAGGGGTCTGTGTTTCCAGATAATTGAAGCACACACAAGCATAAACCTTTCACTTAAAACACTCGGAAAAGTGGCTTCAAATCGGGTTACTCTTGTCTTTCACAATTTTCAACTTAAATATATTGTACCATCAAGATCAGTTTCCAGAGACTCTGATTATTAGACTCCATCTAAGAATGTTGTTTTTATGCCTATTTAAAATTATAAAACATACAAATAAATGAACAGGTTCAAAAAAAAAAAATGTGGTGGGGGATCCCTGGGTGGCTGAGCGGTTTAGTGTCTGCCTTGGGCCCAGGGCGTGATCCCGGGGTCGGGTCCCACATGGGGCTCCCTGCATGGAACCTGCTTCTCCCTCTGCCTGTGTTGTCTCTCTGCCTCTCTCTGTGTCTCTCATGAATAAAATCTTTTAAAAATAATAAATAATTTAAAAACATGTGGCATGCCTGGCTGGCTAAGTGGGTAGTGTATGAGACCCTTCTTTTTTTTTAATTTATTTTTTATTCGTGTTCAATTTACCAACATACAGAATAACCCCCAGTGCCAGTCACCCATTGACTCCCATCCCCTGCCCTCCTCCCCTTCTACCACCCCTTGTTCGTCTCCCAGAATTAGGAGTCTTTATGTTCTGTCTCCCTTTCTGATATTTCCCACACCTTTCTTCTCCCTTCCCTTATATTCCCTTTCACTATTATTTATATTCCCCAAATGAATGAGAACATACAATGTTTGTCCTTCTCCGATTGACTTACTTCACTCAGCATAATACCCTCCAGTTCCATCCACGTTGAAGCTGTATGAGAAACTTGATCTTGGAGTTGTGAGTTCGAGCCCTACTCTGGATGTAGAATTTCCTTTAAAAATTTTTTTTTTAAATTATAAAACGTAACAAAATTTTCTTCCCCTTACTTAGTGGTGCTATCCTTACTTTATGGACTCTGACTTTTTGTTTTATTTTGGGGGGGGGGGGGACTCCGACTTCTGACTTTAAAGACTCATTAACCCTAATTTGTTAGGACAGAACGTCTAACCAAAATCCTGCCCATTCAAGGGACAGCCGATCTGGTCGTTTCCAAGCTTCAAATTATCGTCTCGCTGGCAGGAGGAGAACTCTAGTACTTGCTAGCGCTTCAACAGCCTGTTCAACAGCTTTTTATATACTGCGAGTTCCTGTTAGGAATCTGGCACCACCTCAAAATTCCCACCGGGAAGAAAGCTCTCCCTTCCTTAGGGCCCACTGCGTGGCTCCGCCCAGAGCCTTGACCCGCCCTGACCTCGGCCTCTGCGCGGTCACTGGTGCGCCCGCACCTGCGGGGCAGCGGAACACGCCGCCCAACGACTTCAGAGCCAAGAAGTGCGGCTCGCGACCCTAAGATGTCAAGTTGCAAGTGCCACGTCCGTCTTTGGGGGCCCCCGAGGAGCCTTGCTCGCGGACCTGCTCCCTCTTTTCAACCTTCCGTCTGCAAGGCTCTGAAGCCGCATTACACGCTGAACCAATGCAGGAAGGCAGTGCCTCCCCCCGCCCCGCCCCCCCGGGAAACGAAGGTCCTTCAAAAGGAAGGGGGCGGGGGGGGGGCGGCAAGGAAACAAAGCTGGGGCTGGAGACGGGGCCGACCTCCGCGACCCGCCGAGGGAACCCTCCTTAACCTCAACCTGCTGGATTTCAGAAACGGGCTTGCACGGAAGTGGATCCCACGGCCAGATAAAAAGAGGTGGGGGGTGGGGAGGCGGTGGCTTTTTTTTTTTTTTTTTTTAAGAACCCACAACCCCGGCCGTCACCTCCCCCACGCTCCTAAGGGAAGAGGAAAAGGAAAATAAAACCAGAGGCACCTTGAGAAAGAGCAAAGGCCGTTGCTATGGTTACCACTCCGCGCAGCCCGGGACAAGGAGCTGCCGCGCCGGGCCCTTTGTTTGTCCGCGGCCGCGCACCCAGGGCAGCCCGCCTCGGCGACCCGGGGCAGCGTCCCAAAGAAAGGACACCTTTATTATTCTCGCTCGGCGAGCACGACGCGCAGCCCGGCCACCTCCCCTCCCCCTCCCCCTGCCCCCCTCCGTCGGAGAAAGCGCCGCCGCCGCGCCGCGGGCGCCCGACCCAACATGGCGCACGCGGGGCTGGAAGGAGGCCAACCGGGCACGGCGCGACCTCAGCCCCTGGGCACGGGGCGAGGGGGGCGGGGAGGCCGAGCTCGAGGACACCCCTCCAGGGGCTGCGGCGGCGCCCGAGGGGGAGCTGAGGAAGCGGGAAGAAGGAGGGCGCGCCCGAGAGGCCCAGACGCACTTTGCCGCCAGGCGCGGGCGGAACACACTTCGGCGGAGACGCCCCAGTGCGCAGGCGCGCGGAGCAACGGGGCGACCGCCTCGGCCCTGCCCCGCCCCCGCCGAGGCCCCAACGCGCCTGCGCAGCCACGGGGCGTGGGGGGAGGGGAGGAAACCCCGCTCCCTCCTCGTGAGAGCGCCGCGCCCCGCCCCGCCCCGCCCCGCCGCGCCGCGCGCGCACGCCCCCCTCTCACACTTGCACACGCGCGCGCCGCACTCGCCGCCCAATCCGGCGCGCACGCTCCGGGAGGGAGGCGGGGCGGGGGCTGAGCCCGCGACCCTCTTTTTTTTTTTTTTTTTTTTGTGGGTAAGCTGTTTCCCTGAGAAGTTTCTGGAAAGACGGAGCCCGAGGGAAGCTGGGGGATGGGGCGCGCAGAGAAGCGAGCGCTTTTTGAAAGAAAGCGAAACGTCCAGAGCGGGCCGCGCCGCGGCCGGAGCGGAGCCCGGGAGCGCCGGGACCTCACGGGGACCGCCGCCGCCGCGCCCTCCGAGGCCCCGAAGACCTGCCCGGCTCACTGGAGGCCTGCGTGGAGGGAGAGCCGACCCGCCGGCGCCGCCCGCGCCTCCTCCGGCTCCAGCGCGCCCGCCGACCTGGGGCTCCCGGCCCCGTGTCCTTGACCCCCCCCCCCGTCCCTCTTCACGCTGGTGGCCACGAACTAACGCTGCGGGCGTGGACGCCCCAGGGAGCGGCCGCTCGGCTCCGTCGGCCTTTGCCCCCTGAAGTCGGCCTCCGGCCGCGGGGCGCCGCCCCGTCTGCGGGCTCGAGAAGCGGCGAGGGAAGGCCGGGGCGGCGGCGGCGTGGGGAGGGGAAGCACCCGCGGCGCCTTTTATTGGGCGCCTTTTATGGCTCCGCTCGTGGCCTGGCGCGGCCGCCATTTTATAACGCGGCCGCCATTTCGCGGGGCGTTGGGGGAGGGGCGCGCGCCGCCGAGGCCGGCGGGGGGCGGGGCTGGCGACGACTCCAGGGGTGGCCCCGCCCATTGCCCCGCCCCCTCGCCCCAGCCGCGAAGGCGAGCGCGTCCCCTTTGTTCTTGGCCTCTGGGATCCGGCGCCGCCGCCCCGGAGCCGCGCGTGCGCCGCGTGTGACCCCGACTGGCCGCAGGGGGTGTGGGGGGGGCCCCTCCCGATTCCCTGCTGCCCTGGGCCCCCCACCCCCACCCCGCGCAGGGGTGAAGGCGCTCCCTGGAGCCCTGCGCGCCGAGGGGAGCCGAGCCTCGGCAGCGGTGGCGAGGGGGGGGGCACGGGGCGTGCCTCCTGCACCCGCGCAGCCGAGAGATCGGGCTCGGGAAAAGAGAACAAAAAAAAAAAAATTTTTTTTTTTCTCTTTAAAAGTGTCTTTGAAGTGCTGTCACCAGTAGGAGAACCGAGGCGTTGCCGCTCATTGGCTGGCCGCGAGGCACGCACTGCGCAACTGGTTTCTGATAGGTTTTACGGCCCATTATTTCCATCCGAGCCATAAACTGGAACAATAGACGGGGATGTATGATTTCTGTCTGCCGAGAACCTCTTCCAGTTAACTCTTCTAAAGCTCCCCCTGAGTATGTAAATAGAAAATTGACTCCCTAAAACGTGCCTTCTTCCAGTGTCCTCCTCTTCGAAACTTGAAAAGAGCCTTTGTCTTCCGAGATTTCAAGGGAATGTTTAACGCGAGTGTTGGCATTTTAATGTCCACTTTTGCGGCTTGAGTCAACAAAGCCAGGAAATTCGAGAGTGAGGCTGCCGTCTTTGTCCTCCAGCCTTGCTGCTTTTTTTTTGTGTGTGTGTGTGTGTGTGTGTGTGTGCAAGGTATTTTTGTTGAATGGTGGTGGTGGTGGTTTTAAGTTTTGTTTTTCTTCGCGGCAGCAGGAGTTCCTAACCGAGCCAGCCCTTCTCTGGCTCTAGTCTTTGGGTGTTGCAGCTACAGTAGGGTTTCACGCCCGCCACCCCTTACTGTGTAGGAATTACAGGGGGTTGGTTATTTGTTCCAGTGATAGGGAGTTAAGCTCATAATGACAGGATGAAAAGTTTAAAAATATATATATATATATGGGATCGTCAAGGGAACAGATCAGGATTTGATGGCTTCCAGATGAAAGAAACATCTGAGGAGTGGCTGTTAGATCCCAAATTTTGTCTTCGTTTCAGTAGGAGCAAAAGCACTGCGTGGAATTTTAGGTTTTCATGCTCCCATCTCAGTATGAAGCACAATATTGTACATTTTTTTGACATTGAGATCCTAGGAAAATCATTGTTTTTGAAATGCTATTACATTTTTTTGCCTTCACGGCCAAGATTAAGCGCTATGAAGCTATTCATTTTATTGGGAATTAGGACAGATTATCCTAATAACACAGACAACACGTTATGCCTTTACGAGCCAGGCAGTTGAAATTTAGAAAATGATTGGACAATTCACTTTGTACAGATGTAGGTGTTCCACCTAATTCTAATTCCTAGAATTTGTTTTTTTATTTACAAAGCATGTTCGTATTTCACACCTTTAACTGTTACACTTAATACTAAGCTAAAAGCACATCCGTTTTTGTTTGTTTTTTTTGCACAAAATATTTTCAGTTTGTACTTTCTTTAGAGTGGGTGGTATTTTGGGCTGTTCACCTCTCCCTTAGGACCAATGGCATGGGTTCGCAAAAACAGTTGAACAGAAATTCAGGAAACTCCTCTCCCATCTTTATGTTAGCCTCAAAACATTTTCCAGCTTTCTAAGCCAGAAAGCCCGAACAGTATTAAACAGGTGGACTTTAAACGTGCAGAGAGCCATGTTCAAATAAACAGATTCTGAATTACAACAATCTCATGATCTGTCCTTGGAGTAAATATGCTTTGTATGTAGTCTAGGACTGGTTTCATTTTGTCAAATCCTGCAGGACGAGAGAATTCCACCATCGCCAATCCATTGTTCCCGTGGTTTTTCAACTGTGCTGCTGAATTCATTTGTACCACTTTGTGTTCCTGGAGAGAGATTGGATGTTAACTAGACCCTTTAATTATACAAAGATCCTTAGCCAGGGCAGAGTCTAAGCGGTATGTGCTAGGCCCCTTGGGCTTATTTTTTTGGCATTTGGTGAAGATTGTGTGCAGCTTTTCTAAGCAATGTAGAAATGCTGAAGATCTCTAGCCATTGTTCCAGGAAAGGACAGCTTTTTCATGCCAAATTCTAGCATAGGAGGGAATTTAAAACAATAACAGTAATAACCTTTTCCTGGTAAGGATAAATGAGCTCTTTTAGAGACTTTAGTAATATGGGAAGTTCTTCAAAATATTTTTGGCAGCAATGAAGCACTCCCACATGCTGTAATAGTCTTCCCTTTTGAGGCAAAACTCAGAAATTCAGCACTTCAGAAGTACTGGAGTTCAAAGAACAAATCTTTGCAGCCAATGGTATGTTTCTTAAAAAAATAGAAACATGTCTATGAAAATAAGACTCCTGGAACAACCCAACATTTGTCTTGCCAGAGTACAAATGGTCATTCCTATAACTAGATTCTATCCTGATAATTTTTTTTTCTATCTATCCTGATAATTGTGCAGATTATAGGAACCTATTGATTTCTCATTTTGGCATCTTGGTTTATTTATTTTTTATTATTTATTTTATTTATTTTTTTATTTACTTATGATAGAGAGAGAGAGAGAGGCAGAGACACAGGCAGAGGGAGAAGCAGGCTCCATGCACCGGGAGCCCTACGTGGGATTCCATCCCGGGTCTCCAGGATCGCGCCCTGGGCCAAAGGCAGGCGCCAAACCGCTGCGCCACCCAGGGATCCCCTGGAATCATGGTTTAAATGCCTTATATAGGGCAGCCTGGGTGGCTTAGCGGTTTAGCCCCGCCTTGCGCCCAGGGCGTGATCCTGGAGACCCGGGACCTAGTCCCACGTTGGGCTCCCTGCAGGGAGCCTGCTTCTCCCTCTGCCTGTGTCTCTGCCTCTCTGTCTCTCATGAATAAATAAAATCTTTAAAATAAATAAGTACACAAATGGCTTATATAGACAAACACATCAAGAAGTCTTCTAAAAAGTCAGGATCTTTATTATTTAATAATCAACTTTGTGCCAAGTACTTAGGATATGTCACTGAAGAAAACAGATTGCTGTTCTCATGAAACTTAACTGGTTTGGGGACAGAGGTACAGGGGTGTGGTGGGGGAGAGAGAAGAGACAAGGATAGAAGCAGGAGTCCATGAGGAGGCTGAATAACCCAAAAGAAAGATGGGGGGTGGCTTCACTGCCTAAGGGATATTTTTTTTTTAAGATTTTTTTTAAGATTTTATTTATTCATGAGAAACAGAGAGAGAGAGAGGCAGAGACACACGCAGGGGGAGAAGCAGGCTCCACTGGCTGAGCCACTGGCGCTGCCCATGGATCTATTTTGAAGGTTAATCCAGAAGGCCTTGCTGATGTATTGATCATAGAGTTGATAAGAGAAATTAAAGATAAACCTGAGGTTTTTGACCTAAGCAACTAAAAAGGTTGAGTTGTAATCAACTGAAATAGACTGAAATCAACACTGGCTAGAACAGGGTTTTGTTTTGTTTTTTGTGGGGGGGAGGCTTGTTTTTTTAATATATTTGCCAGAGGTGTGGAGAGAGCCCAAGCAGGGGGAGCTGCAGGCAGAGGAAGAAGCAGGCTCCCTGCTAAGCAGGGAGCCTGACTCGGGGCTCAATCCCAGGACCCCTGGGATCCTGACCTGAGCCACCCAGGCACCCCTAGAACAGTTTTATAAAGGAATATTTAGAGCTCAGTTTTAAGTATGTTCAGTTTGAGGTATTAGGTATTCAGATGGAGATATTAGGTAGGCTGCTGGATGTGAATCTCGAGTTCAGAAAGAAGATCTATATTTTTATGTATTATTCATGAGATCCATCGTATATATATGTGTGTGTGTGACTGTGTGTGTGTGAAAGAGAGAACAGCCAGTGAGACAAGACTGGGAAGGAGAGTTTGGGAGTTATCAGCATATGAATGGAATTTAAAGTCTGAAACTGGATGACATCACCAAGAGAATAATCAGGAAAAGGAACCAGGAAAGCCCCGGGGCACTCTGACACCTAAGAGGTCTCAGAAGTCAGGAACTTGCAAAGCGTCTGTGGAGGAACAAACCAGTTAGGAGGAAATCCCAGAGAGAGCAGTGTCCTGGAAGTGAGAGGAAGAAACTGAAGGAGGAGGGAGTGATCAATGTGATCGCCTGTGGAATGCTGCCAAGAGGTGAAGGGGAGGCAGGAGGATGGCTGTCGGAGCACCGAGGAGGTCATCGGTGACCTTGACAAGAGAAGTTTTGGTGGAGCAGTGGGGCAAGAGCTCTATTGGACTAGATTAAAGAAAAACATCAGTGGGGATCCCTGGGTGGCTCAGTGGTTTAGCGCCTGCCTTCGGCCCAGGGCGTGATCCTGGAGTCCTGGGATCGAGTCCCACGTCAGGCTCCCTCCGTGGAGCCTGCTTCTCCCTCTGCCTATGTCTCTGCCTATCTCATGAATTAATAAATAAAATCTTTAAAAAAAAAAAAAAGTGAATCTGGAGTGCCTCTGGGAAAAGTAATGCAGTAGACTTGGAGGGGAAGATGCCAGGGACGGTGACGGTAGAAAGTACATTCCATCTCACAAAGTTCCTGGGTCAGTGAGAGACTCAGGAACTCAAAACCTGTAGGCTCCTGGGAGAATGACTACACCCTCAGGATATGGTCTGCTTCTAGCCCGGTAGCTGTTCCATAATGACGTGAATAATATACAATTTCTTTGGAAAAGAATACTACCTTCCTACAGACTCTGCAAATTCTGAACTTGGAATTTGGTCGGTACCTGGAAGAATTTGGTCAGTAGGCCAAAGACTCTAGCAGAGAGCTTTTCCTGGAATTTATGTAACCATCAGTGCTCACCGGCAGTCTGAGGTGATTCAGCCAGTCGTGCAGTGCTTGCTTAGAGATGCAACAAAGCAGACCTTGCCCTCGTTTCTCAAGCCTGTACCTCAATAATCCCTGATGACTCTGCAGCATTTGTTGGACTTCCTGTAAAAAGCCTAGACCAATGATGGCGAATTGACTCTGTCACAAGAATAGTAATGCCCTAAGATCGAAGTGCCCCATCGTTTCCTTTCAGTAGGTTTCCTGCACCTGTCCCACGGGAGCCTGCTCCGGCAACAGCAATCCCTAGTGAACGGCAATTAACTGGATGGGCTGTGTGCTTTATTTGAAAACGTGTTTATCATCCTGGGTTTGAGCTCCACTGTTAGAATCCTCGGTACTGATAAGTATAGATCAGTTAAAAATTTTTTAAATTTTTACAAAGATTTTATTTATTGATTCATGAGAGACACACACAGAGAGGCAGAGACACAGGCAGAGGGAGAAGCAGGTTCCATGCAGGGAGCCTGATGTGGGACTCGATCCCAGGACCCCAGGATCATGCCCTCGGCCAAAGGCAGGCACCCAACTGCTGAGCCACCCAGGCATCCCGATCAGTTAAAATCTTTATTTTCAATTGTATTTCCTTACCATTTCTTAGAGGAGCATGTGATAAAATACGGATTTAAAGTATTTATGGGCATTTTATCCTGAAACACCTATGCTGAATAGTCATTGAAACCACCTCTATTTGGAAGTATTTATCAATTTGGATGCAGCCTAGAATGTGGTTAAGATTATATTTCCTGGGCAGCCCCGGTGGCGCAGTGGTTTAGTGCCACCTGAGCCCGGGGTGTGATCCTGGAGACCCGGGATCGAGTCCCACATCGGGCTCCCTGCATGGAGCCTGCTCCTCCCTCTGCCTGTGACTCTGCCTCTCAATCTCTCTCTCTCTCTCTCTCTCTCTCTCTCTGAATAAATTAAAAAAAAGATTATATTTCCTAATACTCATGAAATGCTGCACTGGCTAGCCTATGTAGTCTTAAACTGGTTTTCCCTTGTCCCAGCACATGCTATGCTTCTATCAGTTACCCTGATTTGTCAGAGTTCTTTTGAGGGCTGAGGAAGACTGTCTCCCTACAATGAGATATCAGAGTCCTAGGGCACTCTGATACATCTGTTTCGTGGGACTTTCTCACACCTTCCTGAAAATCATTGATGTAGAACTTAAGGATTTTATTTATTAGAGAGAGAGCATATAGGGGGAGCAGCAGAGGAGCAGAGGCAGAGGGAGAAGCTGGATTTCTACTGAGTGGGGAACCCGATGTTAGGCTCGACCCCAGGACCCTGGTATTATGACCTGAGTCAAAGGCAGACACTTAACCGACTGAGCCACCCACATATCCCTGACGTAGAACTTAAATATAGCTGAGCAACCCAGAGGCCATTTTCTTCACAAACTGGTTAGTTGACTTGAGGTTTATTTCCAATGATATGAGTGCATCAGTTGCTGGCACGCAGGATATATCATGAATATTTGACTTCCTTGAAAGGTCTAAGAGTACTACATTTTTAAAAAGACATATCTCCTTTCTTCTTATTTATTTTTTAGTAGGCTCTATGACCCACGTGGGGCTTGAACTTCAGAGGCCAAGATCAAGAGTCACGTGCTCAACCAAGGGACCCAGCCAGGCACCCGCATAGCTCCTTTATTATTTTGAAAAAATATAACATTTAGGGCAACCCCGGGTGGCTCAGCGGTTTTAGCGGTTTTAGCGCGCCTGCCTTTGGCCTGGGGCCTGATCCTGGAGACCTGAGATCTAGTCCCACGTCGGGCTCCCTGCATGGAGCCTGCTTCTTCCTCTGCCTGTGTCTCTGCCTCTCTCTCTCTCTCTCTGTGTCTCTCATGAATAAATAAATAAAATCTTTAAAAATATATATATAACATTTATTATATTGGAGAAATTGAAAATATTTGTACAAATATCATGCTGGATGTTTCTAGCCATCGGTTATCATTTTGCCTTTTGAAAAAAAAAACAGAACAAGATTTGGGTTTTTTGTTTTTCTTGACAAACCCTCTGAATATTTGAACTTATCTCTATGTGAAACATCTTGAGTTCATTTACTTTGCATTTGTTTAATAAATGCTTAATTGACTTTTATTTTTTATTTTTTTAAATATTTTATTTATTTATTCATGAGAGACACAGGGAGAGAGAGGCAGAGACACAGAGGGAGACGCAGGCTCCATGCAGGGAGCCCGAAGTGGGACTCGATCATGGGATTCCAGGATCATGCCCTGAGCCAAAGGAAGACACTCAACCGCTGAGCCATCCAGGCGTCCCTTAATTGACTTTTAAATAGAGAATGGAAAGAGTTGGCTGCACAAGGAAAGCAGGAAAATGGAGAGGTAGCTGGTAAAAGATGAGCAGCTGGAGTATATGAGATCTAGAGAAGTTGGCTTGTTTCGAGGTGGAAGAAATTATAATACTTTTTTTTTAAGATTTTTTATTTATTTGAGAGAGACCAAGAGAGTGGAGGGAGGGGCAGGGACAAACAGACACTGTGCTCAGTGAAGAGCCGCACACACAGGGCTTGATTTCACAACTCTGAGATCATGACCTGAGCCGAAACCAAGAGTTGGACACTTAACCAACTGAGCCACCCAGGCACCCCTATGATACTTTTTTGTAACCCTGCTTATATAATAGATAATCGATGTGGGCAGGAGAGTTTGACTGGATCCATGTTCTTAAGTAGGGGAGAAGGACTGCATACAGGATGGAATTGGCTTTGGGAAGGAGTATAAAATGGTTCATCTATCTCCAGCCAATTAAGCCAAATGTTCTGTTTGGGGCACACCCCTGGGGGCTGGCGTGCAATGGCTGCAAACAGTACCCTCCTTGGTAGTGTATGCAACTTGTTGCTTGAAGGGGTTGCCTTCAGGGACCTTGGAGACAGTGAACGTTCATGTCTGACCTCGTGCTGTCCCCAATCTAGGCTCCAGATAGGTATACAGGTGCATTTAGAAAGTCTCAGGGCACAGTGACCAGAGTCCACATTGGCCAGGTCACTATGTCCATCGGTACCAAGCTGCAGAACATGTGATTGAGCTACCAAGGAACATGTGATTGAGGCTCTAAGCAGGGCCAAGTTCAAAATCCCTGGTTGCAGGAAGATCCACATCTTCAAGAAGTGGGGTTTTACTGGGTTTAATGTGAACAGAATTAAAGACATGGTGGCTGAAAAGCATATGCCCGGTGACCATGGGGTCAAATACATCACTAATGGTGACCCTCTGAACAAATGTCATGCCCTGCACTTGTGAGAACTTTGATACTGCTCTCTCCTTATTCATACCCATCAATAAATCCTACTTTCTGTCCAAAAATAATAAATGGAGGGGCAGTCCGGGTGGCTCAGTGGTTTAGTGCCTGCCTTCGACCCAGGGCCTAATCCTGGAGACCAGGGATCGAGTCCCACGTTGAGTTCCCTGCATGGAGCCTGCTTCTCCCTCTGCCTGCATCTCTGTCTCTGTCTCTTTCTCTCTCTGTGTGTCTCTCATGAATAAATAAATAAAATCTTAAAAATAATAATAAATAGATAGATGATAAATAGAAATTGTTCCAACTTAATAAGAGAATGATGACACCATACAGCAGTCAAGAGGTTTCGACTTACTTCCTATGTTCTTGGGCATGTCTCGTAAACTTTTTTGGTAGGATCTCTGTGTGGTATATTTGCTACCAAATGATCATTTTCTAAAATAATGCCTGGCAAGCAGTAGTTGTTCAATAAATATTCACTGAATTAATTTTAGGAACTATCTATTAAACCTCTATACTACATATGCCACATCTATCCCACGGGGTTGTTTCAAAGATCCAATAAAACGAGAGAATGGAGTAAAAGTGCTTTATCATCCAAGAAATGCTATTCAGATCGAAGGTGTTTGTGTTTAGAAGAGTTAGAATAAAGTCCACTGAATTTTTTGACTCCTTAAATGAGAAATATATAAATGTGAAAACATGGTCATTGTTGCTTGGACTTTTTTTTTTTTTTCTTTCCTCAGAGGGATCTATCAAAACTTAAAGAGTTTATCAGCTGGCTTGAAATTCAAGGTGGACTACAACGTTACACAAAATGGGGTTTGGCCTTTTAACTCGTGTAACATCACAGAACTGACAAAGTATAAAAAGGCTAACAAACCAAAACCATCTAAGTCAGCTAGCTTTATGTGAATAGCATAAATAAATGTTTCAAGTTACATCCTTTTAAGTTTGTTGTCCAGGATCACTACATCTCACATGAGGCTCAAACTCACAACCCGGAGTTCAAGAGTTGCGTGCTCTTCTGACTGAACCAGCCAGGCACCCCTCAAGTTACATTTGTAATTCTGAGCACATAAGTATTATATGTCCTTTTCTTTCTCTCTTTGTTTTGCTTTGTTTTTTGGTAGATTGTAATTTCCAGAGCAAATACTGTATTGGAGATGTGGATTTACTTTTCTGGGTAACAATAAAGCTTCAAGCATATTGATGTTTCTGCTGAGAATCTTTTTTTTTAAGATCCCATTTATTTATTTGAGACAGATCATGAGCGGCGGGGGTGGGGGGGTGGGGGGAAGAGGGTGAGAAGCAGACTCCCCATTGAGCAGAGAGCTCAATGTGGGACTCAATCCCAGGACCCTGAGGTCATGACCTGAACTGAAGGCAAACAGGCTTAACTGACTGAGTGACCCAGGCTCCCTGTGAGAATTTCTTTTCTTTAAGATTTTATTTATTTATTTGAGAGAGAGAGCGAGCATGAGTGCACTGGCAGGGGGTGGGGCAAAGGGAGAGGGAGAGAATCTCACAGACTTGCACTGAGCATGGGGCCTGATGCAGGGCTCAATCTCATGCCCCTAAAACCATGCGTGACCTGAGCTGAAATCGAGAGTCAGACACTTAACAGACTATTTATTTTCATGATAAATCTATATGATTTTCCTATGTATTATAGGACTGATCTAGACCAAAGTTCTAACTGATAAGAAAAAGAAAAAAAAAATCCCAGTCAGTGCATTTCCATTTTCTTACCATTCCAGGGACTAAAGTAAGTAATATACTTAATTGGTGGAGTTTGAAAGCAATTTCCTATATGCTAAGGTGTTTTTTTTTCTCAAGTAAACTCTACCCGCAACGTGGGGCTCAAACTCTGACCCCGAGATCAAGGGCCACATGCTCTATTGACTGAGCCAGCCAGGTGCCCCATGCTAAGGTTTTATTCCCTAATCTTTGGTTCTGATGGAATATCTGCAAGGAGAAGTAAATCAACTCATGCCATCATTTTCAATTTTTCATTATCACTGGTGATTAGATATTACATAATTAGCCAAGGTCATACAAGAGGATTCAGTGGAGCAATTTAGGATTAAACCTAGGAATTAAACATTAGGAACTCACTGGGATTCCCATAAGTGTTTTTAAGTGTTGTAATACGGGGATGCTTAATTAGACTTCCAGCTTAGTTCCTGCTGTTACCCAGCACCAGGCCTTTTAGTATTACCTAGAAAAAATAGTCCGTTCTCAGAAGATCTCAGAAGTCAAGCTCAAGCTGAGGAAAGATGTGTGCTGAGTAATGCAACTCAGCCCGCTTCCTTGTAAAGCTGGAAGTGCCATATGTGTTTTTCTAATTAGCCCCAATGGATTCCTTCTAGGCATGATTAGGTGTCATGAAGCCAACCATTCTGCCTCTGGGGATTTGTGCATTCTCTGTGAAATTGCTCTATACCATCTGATGCGATAGTTTCCCTATACACGTTTCCTGTTCTGGGTCACGTCGAAGGATTGTGCCACATGGTCTTAACCTACTTTTGTCCCCTACTGCCTTGGTAAACAACAACAGTGGTGACACCCACAGAATGTACCTTGAAGTAACACCCATCCATCTTGCACCTTGCACGGGGCACCTTTTAATCTGGAGGATCCCCAAACCCGCTGCAAACATTAATTATACTTCATAAATACCTCAGTGATACTAGGCTGCCAGCCCCATAGCCCCATTCCTTTCCCAAATGAAGAGATGGAGCCTCTTCTTCAGCCCACTCAGAACAAGGACAAATCTGGGTCATGAGCACAGCTCCAGTCACATATTTAAACTGTCCCTAGGGCTGTAAGGGGAACTAATGTCTTCTCCATGTTCCCCCAATAGAAAGGGGTGTGTGTTTAATGTGTGTTTAAAGAGAGAAATACCTCTCTTTTGCTGCTGATTTGGGTTCTGTGTCTTCTTTTCTAGCTAGATGTGGGGATGTTTTTTTGTGTGTGTGTACTTGAATTCACCTTGGGCAATTGGTTTAAAATAAAATGAATGTCTTACATTTACACTCATATGTATGCATATCATCATCAAAACCAATTCAGGCCCTTCTGATCCACTTCATTCTCTCTTTCTCTTTCTTTCTTTCTTTCTTTCTTTCTTTCTTTCTTTCTTTCTTTCTTTCTTTCTTTCTTCTTTCTTTCTTCTCTCTCTCTCTCTCTCTCTCTCTCTCTCTCTTTCTTCTTTTTTTGGGGGGGACAGGACCATATATTGATTTGATTTTGGTTCTCTTGGATAAGACAGTACACTTTGGAGACACCTTAGCTAGGGCTGCCCTCTTGAGGTTACAGAGGCAGCCGGCTCATTCTAATGCCCAGATCAGGCCTGAGTGTGGGAAAGAGCTGAGAGAAAACAGACAAAAGGACCAAGGACCAATTGGTCATTGTCATGATAAATCGAGATGCTTCTGATGTGCTGATGTGGTAGTGTGGTGAAAAGAGCCCTAACAGGGAACCGAGGGTGCTCATTTGGCCATTGGCAGACTGTGTGATCCCGGCTAGTCATTTTCTCTCCGTGCCTCAATTCCTCAACAACAGAATGGGAGCTGCTGGGGCACCTGGGTGGTTCAGTCAGTTAAGTGTCTGCCTTTGGCTCAAGTCATGATCCCAGGGTCCTGGGATCGAATCCCACATCAGGCTCCCCAGGAAGCCTGCCACTCCTCCTCCTTGTTCTCTCTTTGTCAAATAAATAAATAAAATCATAAAAAGAAAATAAAAAAGAATGGGAGCTGCTGATCTAGTCCAGGGCTCAGCCAACTTCTGTAAAAGGCCAAACCGTGGGCAGCCCGGGTGGCTTAGGGTTTAGTGCCACCTTCAACCCAGGGTGTGATCCTGGAGACCCAGGATCAAGTCCCGCATCGGGCTCCCGGTGCATGGAGCCTGCTTCTCCCTCTGCCTGTATCTCTTCCTCTCTCTGTGTATCTCTCATGAATGAATAAATAAAATCTTTAAAAAAAAGTCCAGACCGTTACCATGTTGGGCTTGATGGGCCATATTGTCTCTGTGGTGGCTACTCCACTCTGCCATTGTACTCAAAAACAGCCACAGACAAAATGTAAGCAAATGAGTGTGAAGATGTTCCAATTAAACTTTATTATGGACACTGAATTTTGAATTTCATGTAGTATTCCCATGTTGGGAAGCATTATTCTTCCTTCAATTACTTTTTAACCATTAAATATGTAAAAGCCATTGTAGAATGCCCCAGGCTGTAGAATAAAACAAGCAGGGAGGCAGATATGGTCCAGGGGCTGAAGTTTGCTGACCTCTGGACCAGAGAATCTCAGAGAGCCCTTCTAGTTTAATTTTCCACAGCTTTGAAAGTCAAGTTAACTATAGTTCCTTTTCATTTCTATTTCTTGGGGGATACATGCTCTTCTAGTGTGACAGGAGGGACCTTAGAAGACACATTGCCCCCCCCCCAAAAAAAAAGATGCCTGCTGGGGCACCTGGGTGGCTCAGTCCGTTGAGTGTAGGACTCTTGATTTTGGCTCAGGTCATGATCTCAGGGTCGTGAGATAGAGCACCGCATCAGGATCCTCACTCAGCACAGAGCCTGCTTAAGATTCTCCTCTCGCTCTGCCCCTCCCCTACATTGAGTGCTCTCA